CGGTCAGGCCGACAAAGCCACCAGGCCGGGAAGAAAGCACCTAAGTGGATCCAAAACACTTAGGAAATTTTTGAAAAAAATCCTAAGTGTTATGATAGTACAGAAATGACGGTCAGGCCGACAAAGCCACCAGACCGGGAAGAAAGCAGCTTAGTGAGCCCAAAACACTTAGGAAATTTTTGAAAAAAAATCCTAAGTGTCATGATAGCAAAGCAACGACGAACAAGCCGACCAGGCCACCGGACAGGGTGGACTACCCCATGGACGTAGCGGACACTCGCGGGTGACCCAAGTTGTGACCTTGACACTTAGACAAATTTCAGAATTAAAATGGCAAAGGGAAATAAGCATACAAGGAACTCAAAGCCGGGCAGGACGACAAAAACTTTTCATTCATGATCAATTAAGTACAATTGGGGGCGCTTCGGCCATTACATCAGTTCGGCAAAAAAAAATGAAAAGCTAATTACAAGGGAGCAGGGAGTAGCCGATCAAGCCTCTTGGGTACCTCCATCCGCGGCTGGCTCTTCGACCTCGTCGGCTCCCTCCTCGGCCTCAGTCTCTTGGCCGGCGGCGGCTGCAGCACTGGTGGCATCGTCCAGGAAATCGAACTCTGTATAATCCGGCTCGTCGAGGCCGGAGCTCTCAATGGGGGACTCCCGCTCCGACGGAGGAAGCTTGGCCTGCTCTTCTGGATCCTTCATCAGCTTTGGCAGCTTCAGGTTCCGTCTAGCCCACCCGGACGTGTAATTCATGGCCTTCAGAGCACGAGACAGCCGCCGACACAGGAGCCTCTGCATCTGCTCCTGGCCCATGCTATAATAGACGACCATCTCCCTACTGAATACTCCTGGCCGGCGGGGGAGTTCATCCCCCGATTTTCAAGCCGGGCGGCCACCACTTCATAGCACCAAGGAAGCCTCTCATCGGCCTTCCACCCCTCGGCCAGGAACCGCTCAACGGCCTCATCGGCAGCCTTCACAGCGGCGGCCTCGGCCTCAGCTTTCGCCTTCATGGCTTCTTCATTCTTGCGCCGCTCGGCCTCAAGCTCCCTTTTGCTCTCCTCGAGCTTGGTCAGGGCATCGTCCCTGGCTGCAGCGGCTTCATCGGCCCTTTGCTGCAAAGCCTTGGCATCCTCCCGGAGCCGATCCAGGCAAGCTACCGCCTCGTCGGCCGAGGCAGCCTTCTGCTCCAGCTCCTTCAAACGAGCTATCTCCCGGTACTGCCTCTTATGGCTCTCCATGAGCATAAAGGCACTCTGCAGAAAAAAGGAAAACAAAACTCAGGCAAACGACTCTACATGGACGACGAGAAAGACGACACATAAGGAAAATAACTTACTTGGACGAGGAGGTCCATGCCGCCCTCGTACACCTTCACGTCCCCGAGCTTCTTCAGGTAAGCCCGATCTTTGGCCGGCATGGCCTGGGCCAGCACATCATGGCCGAGGACGGCATCATCAAACACCCCCCCCCGCCGACGGGGTATTCCACCACCTTCTGGTAGGTGGCAGCGGCGATCTCCTTGCCAGCCCTCCTCGTCCGTGGCTCCTGGACGATAGGGAGCGATTGGGCGGCATCACTGGGAGCAGCAGTAAGGTCCACGACGGGACCACTATCGTCCACGCTCGGGACAGTTAGAGTACCGGCCTCGGTAGCCGGGGAAGGAGACGGTGCCCTCTTCGTCTTCTTGGAGACGTTCAGGCCGACTTCAGTCAATTTTTTCTGGCCGTCAGTGGCCGGCCTCTTCTTCTTCGATTGGGCAGGCTTTGGGGCCGCACCAGCAGTAGCCCCCGCTCCCCTCGGCCGCGGCACGTCTGGCCGCCTCGGCCGCTTTGGCCTTTGTTATAGCCATGATGGAGCGACGGTCCATGACAAAATCTACAAAGGAAAAACACAACAGATTAGCAAGGCAAAAGAACAAAGCATAAAGACAGAAAGCCGAAGAAATAATTACCATCGGCCTCAGCAGGAATGCCCAAGTCCGGGCCGTCGGCCTCTTCGAAGGTGGTAGTCATCCTCGGCCAGAGTTGGAGATCATCCTCCTTATCACCATACACATGGTATCTAAAGAACCCGAGGGCGGTCATCTTGTATTCGGTAATATAATCCTTCACGCTCCTCGGCCCCCCTTCCAGGAAAGCCTCCACCTGAGCGTCCAAGATAGAGCTCTTCGGCGGATCATGCAGATTGAACCTCCCGGTATGGACGAGGGAGGGAAACTCGGTGCCACTCTCACCCAGGGATACAAAAACGAACTTGCTCTTCCACCCATGAATGGACGAAGGCAAGTCCGTAAAGCTCCTCTTCTTCGGCAGCTGTTGAAGAGTAGCATAAGCCGCACAGTTCTTGTGGCTTCCTCGGCCGATCTGGTACAGATTCATGAAGAGGGCCGTTGTCGGCCTGTAGCCCAGCTCCTCACACCGGAGCAAAAACCCCACCATCAAAGAATAGCTGTTCGGCGTCAGCAAGGCCGGAGGAAGCCCTACCATATCCAGGTATTCAGTGATGAAGGGATGAAGGGGGAACCTCAACCCCTTAGCGAAACTCATCGGGTATACTCCAAAGTATCCCGGTGGCGGAAGAAGATCATGGTCCGTCGGCCTGGGTGCCCTAACCCGCCCGAACGGCCCCACGTACATCTGGGCAACAAGATAGTCGGCCGCGCTGCTCTCCGGCTTAATCAGGAAGATGTTGGTGAGATCCAGTTAGGAGAGGCCCGGCCCACTCTTCGGCCTCCTCACCCTCTTCGGCTTATCTGCTCCCTTCACGGCAGACACCGGCCTCGGGCAGGGAATGACAGCGGAAGTGGACGCCCCGTCCACCACTCGGGACGCACCTGTGTCCTCACCATTTGAAGAAGAGGCGGACTCCTCGTCCTCGACTTCGTCGTCCACCGGCTCCTCGGATTTGTAAGGACTCAAGTGTTGTATCTCCTCCTCGAACTCCTAGAGCACCTCATAGTCAAGTGACCTCGTGGAGGGCTGGTCGTCGTAGGGATAGTAGTCTTCGTTCAAACTCTTCATCATAACTACTACTACGAGCCTAAGGAGATTAACCTAGGATCTAAGGGTGTTCAAACGCCTAACACTAGATCACTAGCCTAGGAAGCAAAGTATGAAAAGTGAGGAAGATTGCGATGAACACTAACCTTGAACACGAAGAACACGAAGAACAAGCTTTGGAGTTTATCTCTCTAGAAAATTGGCCAGCACTTCGACAATTCAGAATGCAAATACGTTTTCTCGTCGGAGGGGGAGGGGTATTTATAGAACCCCCCACCCAACGGTCACTACACGTGGCACCCTCCCAATGGCCACATCAGCGGCCACCAATAGGAGGCCACCACGTCACCAACGGGCCAAACTAAATGTCAACAACCCACTGGCAAAACAGACTCTACGGCCTATACACGTGCCGGCTTCACGAGTGCCAGCAAGCGCCCACATCGTCCTACTTGCTCGCCAGCGCCCACAACGTCCTACTTGCTCGCCAAGATCACAAATACCAAACAATGAGGGGATGTCAATGGCTAGGAACGTAATGAACGCCCGTAACGACCACAGAACAAAAAGAACAAAGAGCCCACAGCCATCGGCTCCTCGTAATGACCCTTGATGATAACTCTCTACAAGCGATCTGCGCACAAGGGTTCTCCCACAGGGTTACCTTGGCCAGAAAATCGCCATGAGGGTTGGATTCAAGGGGACTACGGAGAGGCCGCTTCGGCCAGGGACTCAAGCAACTCCTTCACCCCTCACACTCTTCGGCCTGAAGCAGTGGGGGACTGGGGGACTACATCGGCCTCAACAAAACAAAAAGGAACAATACAAAGAACATGAATGTAACCACAAAGCATGGCCACATCGTCCACGCATCACAATGGCGCCTCGTCGGCCAGAGGCACATAACATCATCAACAACGGCCAAAAGGAGTGCGCGAGCACCCTCATCGGCCACCCAAAGGAAAGGACGCCATCGTCCTCAAAGCAAGGATCAACCTCAACGGCCTCATCGGCCCAAACATGAACTCCACCCATCAACGTCCAGGAAAGGGAAAGCGTGCCTTCAACGGCCACCATTGAAACAAGACACTCATCATCCCCAAACGAACACATTAAGGAAACAATGGCCTCCCCGCCCACAGCGAGGAACAGGTAACGGCCAAAGCACAGAACAGGATCACCAAAAAGGAAACAACGCCAACGCCGCAACAGCTAACGGCCCGGGAATGCTCGCATCGGCCAAAAGCACTAAAGCACGGGAATCTACTCTCCTTCACTTCGTCTACGTCTCAACTTAGAGAGTGGGGGACTCCTTATGGAGTATATGGGTCTGAGCCCCCGGACCCACATACTCGGAAGAACAGAAAGCACAAGACATAGAGTGGCGCCCTCGTCGGCCAAGACGCCCCCGTCGGCCGAAAAGGGGCCAACTCAGATTATGGTCCTGAGCCCAAGGAACCCGGGTGCCCTCGTCGGCCATGCCCTCGTCGGCCACGCCCTCGTCGGCCACGAAGACCTCCCAGAACCGGATTTTACACTTACTCATTTGTACAGCCCATTAGTGGCTTTGTATTCGGCCCAGTAGCGGTCCAGTTGTAAATGGGCCTCCCAAGCCCAAGGCTTGGGAGCCCAGCCCGTACTTTCTCTATAAATACTCCCCTTGGGAGTAGTTATAGAGGTTACAAATTCATTCTATTGAAGCATATTATTGCACTTCTCTCTCTAGCTCTCACTTCTCTCTAGATATACTCCATCAGGTTGCTTATTAAAACCCTACTTATTTTATGGGTTGCTTATTAAAAAGCGAGTCTTAGGATGTTTTTACTTGGACTGTAATTCGTCTCAGACCAGACCAGACCAGTTCAGACCAGACCAGATCAGACCAGACTAGACTTGAATAGTTATAAAAATACAAAGAAACAAGACCAGACCATCAAATTAGGGTCCGAGTAAAAACATCCTTAACAAGCACGGAAATTATCCTTAGCCTCTTAGCGTGCAACGGAAAGAAGTATTATATCAATACATCACTCTTATGGGATGCCACTTTCACGCTTTCAGTCATCCAATCCATTCACGATTGAATATGCAATTTCAGGGTCACAGGCTGAGTACAGCTGTTTGATCGTTACGCAACAAAGCACCCCGATCCTTTAACTCTATTGCAGGCCATCTCAACAGAGCTGATTGAGTGCCTATAAATCCCAAACCTTGATTTGCGAAACCCTAATTTCTTTGCATTCTCAATGCCATCATACCTCCCTCATCGGTGAATTCATTCAGGAGATTACGTATTTGGTTTTATTCGTTCCCAGAAGTTTCGTAACTGGAAGATGGATATAGAAGAAAGGCAAGCGGAGCACATAGAGTACTTCGTGAAGCAAGCGTCGGCCCTCAATGGCTCCGCCTTGGCTACTGTCGTCGTCGAGGCCACGTCCCATCCCTCTCTTTTTGCCTTCTCCGAGTTGCTCTCTGTTACCAATATTTTAGAGGTTTACATCTACTACTACTAGCAGTATTATCATTACTACTACTATTGTTATTATTAATAGGGGAAGCAATGCTTAATTATACCAAGACCAATACCAATAGCCCATAGGTACTTTAGAAATCACTTTCAATAATACGACCTATCTTGAGTATACAATAAAGTTGATCCAAGCCACTATCCCACTTTAAATCCTGTCATTTAACCCATCAGGACCTAAATCAAATCACTGACCCTGTCCCTGTTTCAAAGTAACCTTTATCTAATGGTTGTATATAATTTTTTATGGGTCAAGATAATGGGATTGTAGTTGAAAAGTTCTTATTATCGTCTTCATTATACATTCAAATAGTTGGAATTAAATAAGTTCCAAATTACTTATTATTACAGTTAATAATTGGTATTATTTGAAGTTATTTGTCTTTAGTATTATTAATGGATTGTGCTGCTTATAGATTTGCTTATTGGCTTATTGCTCATTCCCTGTCGGTGACTTGTGTGTGCAGCTGGAAGGAACTGAGAACTCTATTTACCTCGATTTGCTTCGCACGTTTGCTCATGGAACATGGACTGAGTACAAAGGTAGGTGCTTCCTTCACTATTTAAGGGTCCTTGTTCAGCATCACTTCATCTTAGTTTTAAAAGGCGCAAGGCGGCATGAGGCTTTTTTGTTAAATTTACCGGAGACATGAGGCGGAGGCATCCCTCATGGAACTTAGCCAAAGAAATTTGCTAATTTATATTTGTCCTACTTCCACATGAACCCCTCATCCTAAATATAATGATAAAATCACAAAAATATTAAATATCATTAACCAAGCTTAATGAACACCAAAATCAGTCACAAAAGAAACACAATGAATATTCAAACAGTAGCAAGAGATGTGTTAAACACCAAAGTCAAAATTTGTACATATAATCTAAACAACATAAAAACTGTATGATGTATGATCATTGATCAGTAAACAACAGTTATGATCCCCATCAAAACAACATAAAGACTTCATAATGATTATTATGTACTAATAAATATGCAAAAGTATACAAAAATCCAATAAATGTACAATAAATTCAACTTATATGTATGCTGGAAGTATACATAAAGTGTAGACTGCATGGGTGTACTAGCAGCATCTAAACAACTACTTTTAGCAAACAAAATCCTTTGGTTTACATTTTTAAACCCCAGTTTTTCAGATCGGAAAGTCATACTATTGTAGCATACCCTAATGCAACCATACACCCATGTGACAGGTGTACACCCATTTAATTACTCACAGACTCAGTGTCATACTATTATAGCCTACACTCATGCAGTCATACACCCATGCAAATATGTAGAAAGTATACACCCATGTAAATATAAAACATCATAAGAGGAGCACAACGAGGCATAGAGCATGCAGAGGAGAAAAGCAGAGGAGTACAACTGCACAAAGAGGCATAAGGCATGCATTCAACCAGAAAGAATCACAGGGAAAATACAAAGAGATCAAGGGAAGAAGAAAAGGACAGAGAAGCACAGTGAAGAAGAAGATGAGGAGGAAACAACTGTATGACATACCTGCGATTTTGTGCAGAGAATATGTGATAATAAAGCGTTGGAGTTGTTATGGAGCAGAACTTAGTAAGTAAACGACTAATAGGAAGTAAACTACTATGGACTCCCAGAGTAATAATAGCTTACGTACGATAATGCTAGACCAAGGCATATGAGTCATGAAAACCCTATAAGCGTAGAAGGAGACCACCTCGTGAAGCGTGAAAAGCGGCTAGAAGTGAGGATGTTGCGCTCGCCTAAAGGAGTCTGCTGCGCCCAGGGGTTTTTGTTGCACTTTTCAATCACCTGGGTGTGTCTTGTGCCCAGTCATGCCCCGGTCACGCTTTTTAAAACTAAGCAGTTCTTTCCATGGATTTAGACTCTTGTAGCCAATATGCTTCTTGATATAATATGAAAGGGAAAATGGAAATTGAGGGCATAATAATAAGATTTCTCTACTGACTTTATTAATTAGACTTTTTCCAGTCTTTCTGCACTATTTTTTTATTATTATCTTATTTGCATACATCATATGTACACAAAACAATTATTCAATCCACGCCTTTTTTAGTAAGTTAATATGAAAGGATCAAGTTTTCCTGTAGATGATGTAAGTTGACAGCTAGAATTCAATGCACTTGCTATTGTCTTCCTTTGGAAATATTACATATTTGCTTGCTTTAATGAAACAGTATAGGCAGTGTTTGCAAAAATTTAAAAAGTGTTTTTCAACTCTCGTCTAAAAAACATAAAATGAGTGTTTTCAAGTGACAATTTCTACTTAATTTAAGTACTTAAAAGCTAAAAGTTGGAAGCAGGTAGATGGGGTGCTTTAAACAGCTTTTACTTTTTCTATTACACAATAAGCATCTTTTTTACCAAACACCACCAAGTCACCAACTTTTACTTTTTCAAAAGCGCTTTCTTGTCAAACACTACCAACATTTAATATTAAGCACTTTCTCTAAAAGCATTTTAAAAAATCACTTTTTAAAGTTGAAGAAATCGAAAACACCCCCATAATCTTGTTTGTATATAACTGTAAAGTATCTGTGATGTCTTTGTTGTTTGCAGTCCTGCACTTACGAAGTTTAAAATCTTTGTTATTTTTTTTATTGCATCAGTGTCTATGTGCAAGTGAACAGCATATGTTGGATCTGTTTGACCATTGTTGCAGATTTATAATTTTTGAACTCCTTTTCTCAAAGTTTATATGACTGTACAGCTCTTGCTGAAAGGCTTCCTCAGTTGATGTCTGATCAAGTGCTCAAGTTGAAGCAACTAACTGTGCTTACACTAGCTGAGTCGACCAAGGTTTATTCTTCACCCATTTGTTTCTTTAAGATGATAACATACCTTTGGGGATTAATATCTTCTTGATAAAAGTTGTGTTTTTATAACGTTTTTCTTCACATTTTATTGATCTCATCTGTCTTTCCGTTATTATATTTCAGGTATGTTTGTCCATACAGACCATACCATTCAACATGCTACCTAATTAAGATTGTTGTTTTAGTCAACACTGTTTTGAATATTCAAGTACATCCTACCTATTGTTTCTTTTGCAGGTGCTTCCCTATGATTTACTTATGCACGAACTAGACGTCACAAATGTCCGCGAACTTGAGGATTTTCTCATTAACGAGTGCATGTACGTGGTGAGTGTTGAACTTATCCTTTTTCAACTTTCTTTTAACATATCCTTCTCAGACTGACATTCATTATTGAATGTCATACTCATTTTTTTCTTTCATTGAGTTACGTTTATACAGTTTATTGTCTTCTTCGGTCTTCTGTGTTTGACCAAAACTATTCTTTTATGGTTTGGTTTTTCTTTGTTGTGGACTTTGAGGATAGGGCATAGTTAGGGGAAAGCTGGACCAGTTGCGCAGATGCTTTGAGGTTGTTATGATTTTCATCATTGTCTTAATAGGAGTGATTACACAAGGGAAAATTTGATTATGCACCCCATATTTACTTTGAAATTGGACCTTGCTCTCTTTTTAAATTCTCTGAGTTTGCACCCCCAAAGTCCCAAAAGTAGGGTGCAAAGTCAAATATTTATCTTAATATGGTCTTATGGGGTGGAAAGTTGAATATTTTTTTAATTATCCGGTGCAAAGTCTAAGAGAAATAACCCTCTTTTGAGATGTCGGTTCTAGAAATTCAAAGGATTAAAAAAAGTGGATGCAAAGTCCAATTTCAAAGTGTGCATCGGTGATAAACTCAAATTTCTGCATCACGCAATCATTTTTTTTTGTTTAATCTCTGATCTCAAGCCTATCGTCCTTCTATTTTAGGTGCAATTTGCAGCAGGGAGGGATCTCAGGCCTGGCCAATTGGGGAGCATGATACGGATGCTAACAGATTGGTATGTCACTCTGTTGTGTATAGTTTCTGATGGCAGATTGATTGTGGCTTAACCACTTGAATATCTTGTGAATTGTGATATTATGATTGTGATCTCTTAGCCTTAAAAAGGGGGGCAGCCCGGTGCACATTGACGCCCCCGCAAGGTGATGGTCCGTGGAAGGGTCCTACCACAAGGGTGTATAAGGAGCAGGCATTCCCTTGTCATTTTTGACAAGAGGCCTCTCCCAAGACTTGATAGGGTATCAATGTTTTTATGAAGTGAGAGGTTTAGCTATAAGAACAATGATTTGATATGTTAATAATTCAAAGTCAGAAGTACGACTTCTGGTATTTCAAGAAAGTGGATAGTTGAATTTTGAGCTATGTTACTTTAAATACCTTCATTACCTTTTTACTTGGTTTTTTGCTCCTTATGTATTTGATCTACTCTATTAAGCTGGGTTTGATATATTAGTCTCCTAATTCATCTCATTGGAACTTGAATAACCTTAATTGATACTCATTCTCATTTCATAAATTGTAGGCTCACTACTTCAGATAATCTTCTCATATCAATTCAAGAGAAGATCAAATGGGCTGATACGATGAGTGAGATGGGCAAGAAGCATAAGAAAGAAATGGAAGAAAAGCTTGAAGAAGTAAAGAAGTCATTGTCTTTCAAGGTCAGTTCTGCTATATGTAATATCTTACTATCTTTCACAATTTTTTATACTCCTGTTCTGCTAAGATTGTCCTCATATTTCCTTTTCGGTCCATCCCACAAATATTGCCCCATACCAAATTTGGTAAAGTTTATGTGGTTCTAGTTTATTCTTTATGAATTCAATGTCAACCACCTAAACCCACTTTTCTTAATAACAGACCACTTCCTCATGTCCCAATGTTAGTGGGACGGAAGTAGTATTAGTATTCCTTTTTTGGTTACTCGCCCTTTCTTAAATAATTGTCAATTTTGCAAAGACACCTTTGTTCACGAATAGTTGTCCATTCAACTATTCAATAAAATAATAATGTAAAACTCAACAAAATGACTCAGTTGCCCCACATTTATTTGACTTTTGTTTGTTACAATACCTAGAATGTAATATGGGCATGGTTGTCGGTTTTCAACATAATTAATTATAGCCTTAGACCCACCATTTTATTTCATTGAATGGTTGTTTAAGAATGGAAGGAGTACTTTGTAGGATCTAACTCCAGATGCAATAGAACTAAGAAACTTCAATCATACATTTATTAATTTATATTTGACACCACATATGTATTAGATCCCTAAACACCGAAATCCTTTTCATCCAAAATGACATTCCAAATTTGTTTGTGCTGCGTGGATGAAGTTAAGTGAGTTCTCAATAGGGCACACAGGCTCTTGAGTTCGCCAAGTGAGTTCTGGTTTATTTTCTTGTTGTGATCACTATAGCACTCCTAGCTTCTCTAAGATGACAATATGAGACTAATTTATATCCAAGTACTTGGATATGCTAGTAGATGTGTCTTACTTACATTGTGGCAGAAGTTACAAACGAGCAGGCGGACATCGACTACCGAGGGCATGAGGAGATCTACTCTGAACATGTTGGAGTGATGGATTTTGAAGAAGACCGAAGCCGGCCCAAGAGGTAATTAAAAGGGGTCATATCCCTGATATTTGCATGCACAGTTGAGTTACCATTCGTAATCTTACCAGCAGAATATGAACTGCTGAATAACTGAATTACTGAAGCAAAATACTTATTCATGCTCAGATTAAGTGAAGTGTAGTGCTAGACATTTTGACCTTATGAGACTGTATGTCTTTGATTTTGTTCTGAGACAATATCCCCCTTTTGGTACTGTTAAATTTGGGTCATTTTCACTTTTGGTCATTCAATTTCCCCCCACCATTGGTGCAAATTATGGATTTCTTTCCAGTCACTTGTCTGGCCATCTGTGTAGAACTTCCGGTTGATGTTTCTTGGATAAGTAACCAGAAGAGTGTCTGAAAGCAGCAAGCAAGACGTTTATATTGGTGTGCTAAATTTGATAAAATGAAGATGACTAAAAGTGAAATTGACCTAATAATTGTGTGACCAAAAGTGGAATGTTTCTTGGTTCTGAAGCTCAGATTTTAGTAAATTTTGCAGAAGAAGACACCCTTTTGGTTAAGGAGATAGAGCAAGGAGTGCGGGGTTGGTTTAGTTTGGCTACCACACAGTGTTTTGGTCATCAGCCTCAACAACATTGCGTGATTATCTTCTTTGAGAATGGTGTTATAGCTGCTTTGAGATTGAACTTACAAACCTTAGACTCCGAAGTACTGATGGTGCATGATTTTGTACTGCAATCTCTAACTGACTATTTTTTTGGGGTTGGCACAAGAAGACCAAGTGCCTTGATGCGGCTTTCATTTATTTATTATATATATGGAGATGATACCACACATTGTTAGATCAATCAAATTGCATGCTTCTCTTTTCCATGTCTGTATTCATCGCCTTACCGCTGTGAAGGAAATGGTTGACCCATCAATCTGTGTTACAAGTGAGTTTGAATTAGCGCATTTTTCACTTGTCAGTTCAACTTAAGTGGATCTTTAAGAAAACGTATAATAAACATAACTACCATGTCCTAAAATGTCCTTATAACAATGCGCAACTTTTTTTTTCCTTTGGCAACTGTCATAATTTAAGAATCGTAATTATATTTCTACATTCTTTGGGTAATATTACTTGATTTTTTCATATGCAACTCATTTGAGACTTTTTGGACAGTTTATTGACATACTAGTATTGCACTTAGGGGTGGACTCGGGTCCGGGTCGGGCCTAGGCCCGGGCGGGCCGGCGGTTCAAGAATGGTGGACCCGGGACCGGCCCGGGTAGCCACCGGGTCCGGGCCTCCGGTTTGGATTTTTTTTTTTGCTTTCCTAACCCCCCCCCCCCTCACCCCCACCCTCCCAAACCCCCCCAAACCCATCCTACCCATCAAGCCCAACCCGGGTGGAACCCCAAAAATGGAAAAAAAATAAAAAAAAATCAATTTGGCTCGGGCCCGACCCGGCCGGGCCGGTTCACCAAAATTGAGACCCGAGCCCGGACCCGCCCCCCGGGCCTAGGCCCGACCCGGACCCGGACCCGAGAACCGGGCCGGTCCCGGTCCAGCACAGTAGCGGGCCGGGCCGGTCCACGGGCCGGGTGGCCTGACCCGAGTCTAAGCCTAATTGCACTATTACAGTGTGAGGGTACACAAGTACAGGGGTGGACTCGGGTCGGGCCAACCGGCCTGGAACCGGACCGGCCTGCTACTGTGCGTGCCCGGACCGGCCCGGTGAACCGGTTGGTGCCCGGTTCGGGCCACCTGGCCCGGTGAGGTAGGCGGCCGGGCCCGGGCCTGCTAAATAGTGAACCGGCCCGGCCGGTCCGGGCTTTTTTTTTGATTTTTTTTTAAGTTTTTGGGTTGGGCCGGGTATGATGGGCCATTTGAGGTGGTTTGGGGTGGTTTGGGGGTGAGGGGGGAGGGTTGGGGGTTAATTAGGAAAAGCCAAAAAAAAAATTGAATCGAGGCCCGGCCCGGACCGGACCCGGGGTTACTCGGGCCGGTTTCGGGCCTCCCCTTTCATGAACCGAGGCCCTGCCGGGCCCGAATCGGAACCGGTCCAACCCCGAAAGTATAGGCTAAAGTAGACTTGGACTCAGGCTTGGTCGGGCCCGGGCCGGCGGTTCTGAATAGCTGTACCCGGGACCGGCCCGGGTAGCCACCGGGTCTGGGCCGGGCCGGGCCTCGGGTTTGGTTATTTTTTTTTTGCTTACCTACCCATCCCTCACCCCCGACCCCCCAAACCCCTCCTAAACATCAAGCCCAACCCGGGTGGAGCCCAAACAAATGAAAAAAAATTCAATTTGGCCCGAATTGGGCCCGGGCCCGGTCGGGCCGGGCCTTGTTTTGGGTGACCCGAGCCCGGATCGGAAACACATCGGGTTGGGCCTACCCGGATCGGTCACTGACCGGGCCAGGCCGGAACAGTACCGGTCCCGGGCCGGTTCCGGTTCCGGATCACGCCACCCGGCCCGAGTCCAAGTCTAGGCTAGAGACTAGAGAGTAGAGAGCATGCGTATCAAATTTTTTTCCAAGTTTTTCTTTCAGAAATTACCCTATGTAGGAGTAATTTTGTTTTGTGAATTTTAAAATATTATCATGTTTATTATTATCTAAATAAGAGTAATTATTGTTGTGTTTTGTCATTACAAGACTTTAAATTAAAAGTATTTTTCAAGTTTGAAACTAATAACTCCTATTTATGGAATATATAGGAATAAAAATATGCTATTTCGAAATTTCCATCTTTTCATTCCTGTTAGTTCCACAGTGCAAATTATATCTAATTGATTTAGTATAACGAATCTTAAAGACTTAAACAACTGAACAGTAAACAAAATGATTCTTCTTAATTTGCGTATAACTCATACTCCCTCTGTCCCGAAAAGGTTGCCAAAGTTTACTTTCACGTGGATTAATAAAGTAAAAACTGTATGGTTAAAATTTGTGCAGAGGAGAGAGAATTAATTTTAACCACATATTCCTTACTTTAAATGGAAATGACAAATATTTTTGGGACATCTAAAAAAGGAAATTTGGCCAACCTTTTCGGGACGGGGGGAGTAAGTCATATGACCCTCGAGTTGAGTTGAAGTTAAGAATGTAGAGAAACTAAAATAAAATAAAATAAGAAAAAATTCCATTAATCCTCTTTAAAATGTAATGGATAAAATTTTTAGTTTTAAGTTAATTAATCATTGCCTTTCTATCTTTGTGGGCCTTTTATTTTAAAGACTTTCATGGGAACCCTAGGTGGCAGTCTCGCGTATGTGAGATGATGTTTCTCTCGTGCATGCGAGCTTTTCTTGATTTAATGGCAAAATTTCAACAACTTCCTTCGCATCAGATGGGAGCATGCTGTCGATTGAGAACCCTGTAACTTGAGGGTGATCGATTGATGCTTAAAGGGGAAGGGGCACACTTGGTTCTTGGCAGAAGAAGAGGAATTATGGGCAGCGGTGATGCATTCTTTTGACTGCTTTTGGTTGGCACCTTTCTCATGGAAGAGCCCCGCGAGGCCTATATAGCGGAGATTGCGAACAAGGTCAGCGCAGGCAAGGCGGGGCTGGATGGAGATGAGGTAGACCCGACGCAAGAAAGTTTGGAAAAGTTGATCGGACAGTGCGACTTTTGGGAGATCAGGAATGAGGATGACGAAGTGCTGTTTGATGAGGAGGACGTCGCGGACCGCATGGAGCAGTCAATTCAGGGGGCTCATCCCCCTCCCGAGCCGCCGCCATGGAGTGCAAGAGAGTCTAAGGTTTGGAAGAAGATAAGTGAACTCGTTTTAATTTCGTTTTATTTTATTTGTGTTTTTCTTTGGATTGCAAACTGTTTTGGGTGTGTTCTTATTTCCTAAAAGAAAGACTTTAGAGTTTATAAATCAGGTGATGAGAAGTCTGGTTTGCCTGTCATTGGCTCAGTTAAGCCCATTACAGGCTCAGTGAATCTCATTGCCTCAAAGAAGGTGATATATTCTAAGTATGGTTCAAAGGCGGACGACAGAAAAATGACTTTATTGTCGTTTTGTTTCCTGCTTTATCTCTGATTGTATTATCAGCCAAGTTACAAACGTTTTGTTGATTTAATATAATTGTTCGTTTTACGATAGAAAAATGTGATGAATAAAAATAGTACTTAGTACTACGCAATTATTAGTGATTATAATTGTATTCAAATTTAAATCTTAAGAATTACATGTAAGTTACTACAATGTAAGAATTAAACATAACTATATCACTAATAGTTACTAAGAGAAATATTTTTGTCCATGACTTTTTATTACTAATATTTAAGGAAAAATTCCGTGCTGTTATTTTCTTCCATCTGGACGAAGACACTATGTCATTTATCTCAAAAAAAATCCAACCGCGACTACTTCAGATAAATGCCTGCCATTTATTTGCTCCGATTGTCACATAATCTTCGTTGTAGCTTCTAAATATGGGTGGACGCGGTCCCGGTTCGGTCAGTTCCTAGGTACGCGACCGATTCCGGGCCGGTTCAGGAGTTTGACTTATTTTTTTGTATAACAAATGCTAAATATTAAAAAGGGAAAATGGAAACTAATATTTATAATGGCGTTTGCATTTTCCCTATATAAAATGCAACATAGATTTATTTGAAACACTAAATACATGAACTTATTGTTAGAACTCCCGCCAGCGTCGGTGTGCCGATCAAATCCCAAAAATGGAGAAGAAAACAGCGACTTGCGTGCGCGGGGGCGACCTGCGGACACAAATGTCGTCCAAAAATCTCTCTCTCAAAGATATGATTTAATTTGTGTTTCTTCTCGTAACGTTCCTCATTTTTTCCAGAGTGACAGCAAGGGGTTCTGTTCCAACAGAAACGCTTCACTTTTGTCCATACCAGAATGGGTTTATGTCCTCAACAGAAATGCTCGCTCCACTTCTGTTCGGACCAGAAGACCGCTGGTCGCACCAGAACTGCTCCAAGGCGTTACAACCTTTAAATGCCCAACGTTCTTGTCTTTTAATGCTTCTTTAAATGGATAGTTTCTCAACATATTAATGTCCATCGTGCTGGACATTTATGTGCAACGTTCAGGTCCATTAAAGCTCAGTTAACACACACCACAAATCCTCATATAAATGGCTGACAGGTGCTTTGCAACAAACACACGTTCATACATGCAATCATACACAGTTAGCACGTAGTTTTGAGCTCTAAAACACCTCCAGCTTTCCAGAAAATCCCGAGCGTTCTGCCTTTGTTCTCGTTCGCCGGAACTTTCGTTTGTGTGCTGAAACGTTAGTTCGTTAGCCACCGTATCCTGGGAAACGATCGTTGCAACGCTCCTAGCACCGTGACAGGCGACGAATACATTTTAAGGACATCGTGCGTAGCACGAGCTCTGGCTAAATTCTGTTCCATCTCATTTCTGTTTTCTTTCGTCATTTTAATTAATTAATTTTTATTAACTCTTTTCTTTGTTTTTCGAAACACACCCAACAATCTTAAAACGTATTCGGTGATTGTTCTACTGCGGTAAACAATCTTAAATCGTAGATTGTTACTTTGGTGAATGAACTTATTTTTGGTGTTTTCAGAAAATGTAAGAAAACGAAAATGACTTCTCAATAAATTCAGAATGTTGGTTGGCAGAACGTGCCAAATGACACTCACTCTAAAAGTGGAGCTCCGGTGAACAATAGTTCACAACGCGGAGCATCTGCTTTGGGCAACCAAAGGGCTATCCCTATGGTTACCGTACCGAGCAACTCTGTGGAGAAACCCGAGAAATTCAATGGGTTAAACTTCAAGAGGTGGCAGCAAAAGATGCTATTTTACCTCACTACTCTCGCTCTTGCTAGGTTCTTGACCGAAGACGCGCCGGTAGTAACCGGGGGTGAGATGGATGCGCAATCTCTCAACGCAGTTGAGGCATGGAAGCATTCTGACTTCTTTTGACGAAACTACGTGTTGAACGGGCTGCATGATGCTCTCTATGATTTTTATATCAAATTAGCTACGACTAAAGAGCTATGGAATGCTTTGGACCACAAATATAAAAGCGAGGATGCTGGTGCAAAGAAATTTGTTGTCGGCCGATTCCTTGATTTTAAAATGGTGAAGTCGAAGACGGTCTTGAGTCAAGTTGAAGAAATGCAAATGATCTTCAACGAAATTCGAGATGAATGAATGACAGTTAGTGAGTCTTTCCAAGTGGAATCAATTATCCATTTATTGTCGCCGGCTTGGAAGGATTTCAAAAACTACCTTAAGCATAAGCGAAAGGAAATGAACTTGGAGCAATTGATCCTCCGTCTGTGGATTGAAGAGGATAATCGGAAGAACGATGAGAAACTCCCAATCGTTACCAGCGCCAAGGCAAATGTGGTGGAGCGTGCAAAGGGCTCCAAAACCAAAAATAATGGGAAGAGCAAGCTCGGTCCCAAGAGAGGCATTTCCAAACCAAAATTTAAGGGAAAATGCTTCAATTGCAACAAGAATGGACACAAGTCCTCGGATTGCAAGGCACCAAGGAGGAAGAAAGATTCTCAAGTCAACTTGGTGCAAGGTGGGCAAAAGGATGAAGACATAATTCTTGCGGCCGTGGTGACCGAGGTCAACCTTGTTGGATCCAATTCCAGGGAGTGGTTCGTGGACACCGGTGCAACCCGACATATTTGCTCAAACCGGGAGTTATTCACAACTTTTGAGCCATCAAATGGTGAGAAGGTGTGGATGGGAAACTCGGCTCATTCCGCGGTTGAAGGCATGGGCAAAGTGGTCCTGAAGATGACTTCGAGCAAGGAGCTAACTCTCAACCAAGTTTTGTTCGTTCCGGAAATACGCAAAAACCTGATTGCCGGTTCATTGTTGAACAAACATGACGTCTACATGGTTTTTGAGTCGGACACACTAGTTTTGTCTAAATCAGGAATGTATGTGGGCAAGAGGTATACATTTGATTGGCTATTTAAGCTCAATGTAATGACTATTGTTAATTATAATAATAAAATCCCTTCTGCTTACTTGCTTGAGTCTTCCAATGTGTGGCATGGTAGACTAGAACATGTTAATTTTAATTCTATACATAGATTAATTAACATGGAACACATTCTTAAATTCACAATTGATGTGAAGCACAAATGTGAAGTTTGTGTAGAGGAAAAACTAACGAAAACATCTTTCAAATCGGGTGAAAGAAAAACGGAACCACTTGAATCAATTCATAGTGACGTTTGTGATTTTAAATCAATACAAACACGTGGCGGTAATAAATATTTTATTACTTTTATCGATGATAGCACTCGCTATAGCTATGTCTATTAAAAAATAAACACGACGCAATCGATAAATTCATTCTTTATAAGAATGAAGTGGAAAACCAACTTAATCGACGGATTAAAATGGTTCGAAGTGATTGAGGTGGTGAGTATGAAGCACCAATTGGTGACTTCTGCGCGAGCGTGGGTATAATACATGAACGTACCACACCATATTCACCTCAATCAAATGGTGTTGCTGAACGAAAGAATCGCGCATTGAAAGATATGATGAATGTGATACTTGTAAGTTAGGGCCTGCCACAAAATATGTGGGGCAAAGGAGTCTTGTTAAGCAATTACCTTTTAAATAATGTTCCCTGGAAAAAATATGATAAAACTTCGTACGAGTTGTGGAAAGGTAGAAAGCCTTCCTATCAATATTTAAAAGTGTGGGAGTGTCTTGCAAAAGTGCTTGTACCAACACTTAAGAAAATAAAAATAGGTCCAAAAACGGTGGACTTTATCTTTATTGGATATGCACAAAATAGTAGTGCTTATCGGTTTTTAGTGTACGATTTGAATAATCCGGATGTACATAAAAACACAATAAATGAATCAAGGAATGCTTCATTCTTTGAAGATGTATTACCACGCAAGTCCAACGAAGGACCAAGCACCTCAAAACGAACATTTGACGTAGCTATGGAAAATACTAGCGAAGGGTCCGGAGAAGAACCCGAACCCAGACGTATCAAACGTGCTAGAGTTGAAAAATCCTTCGGACCGGATTTTCTCACCTACTTGGTAGAATTTGACTCGGATATTCTAACATGTATGGTAGAAAATGAACCGGATTTTCTAACATGTTTGGTAGAAAATGAGCCATGGACTTATACAGAAGCCGTGACGTCTACCGAAGGTCCTATGTGGAAAGAAGCCATCAAAAGCGAGGTGGATTCTATCCTACAAAATCACACATGGCAATTGGTTGATCTTCCTCCGGGAAATAAACCTTTGGGATCGAAGTGGATTGTTAAACGAAAAATGAAACCTAACGGTTCCATCGGTAAGTACAAGGTCAGACTTGTAATCAAGGGATACAAGCAACGTGAGGGCCATGATTACTTTGACACATATTCTCCTGTGACGAGAATAAATTCCATTAGGATGATACAAGCAATTGCCGCATTGCGGAAATTGGAAGTTCATCAAATGGATGTAAAAACCGCTTTTCTAAATGGCGATATAGACGAAGAAATCTATATGGAACAGCCCGATGGCTTTCGTGTTCCTGGCCAAGAAAGGAAAGTGTGTAAATTAATTAAATCATTGTATGGATTGAAACAAACCTCTAAACAGTGGCACGAAAAGTTCGACCATGCAATGTTAATTAATGGGTTTAAAATAAACGAAAGTGACAAATGCGTCTATGTGAAAAGCACAGTAGACGGCAACATCATTTTATGTTTATACGTGGATGATGTACTCATTGTGGGTAGCAATAATCTAATGATTAATTCTACCAAAAGCATGTTAAATTCTAAATTTGACATGAAGGATATGCGACTAGCCGATTTAATCCTTGGGATTAAAATAATTAGGGGACCAGACGGTCTTACCCTAAGTCAATCCCATTACAGTGATAAAATCCTTACGAAATTTAATAAGGATGATTATTAAGAGGCAAGGACGTCATTAGATAAAAACGTACACCTTACCAAAAATCATGGAGAGTGTATTTCTCAAGTAGAATACGCTAGGATTATTGGAAGCTTCATGTATCTAATGAGTTGTACCAGGCCTGATATTGCCTTTGTGGTTAGCAAGCTAAGTAGATATACTAGTAACTCTGGTGATGAACACTGGAAGGCAATA